GCTTACATCTCGTTTCAAAACCTAAACTATAAATCAAATTGGTGGCTTTAGCCTGTCACTCTAAAGTTTTTTAATTCTACACCCTTGAAAAGTTGATTTCCTTATTTATTTGCACTCAACCCCATGAACTACATTATCATTTTGAAATCAATATGTGATTCTAACCATTTTTTGACTCAGACAATACCATCTCAGATCTTACATGTTCTCACATTAGGTATTAACATCTTAATTGGCCAAATGTAGAAGTAAATGAAGTGCAAGGTTTCAAATCACCACAACTTCTTCCAGCAATGAAGCCTGATACTTCACACAACATCCTTTTAGTACTTAATCACTTATCATTTTAAGAAAAAAGAGAAAGAATACTACTCAGAAGAAATGGAGAAAACACAACCACAAATGAGTTTAAAAGTAGAAATCATGCACACAAACAAGAAATCTAAATTAAAACCAAGTGTAGTCATAAAGATAAACACTTATCTCAAATACTCTTCATCAAATGTCTTGAAGTTCCTTTGAATTATTTTCCTTCACTCACAATACAAACTAAACACTCAAAATAAAAAGAAAAGTAAAGTGATCGACGACAGCTTGGAGGCGACGGGGACGATGGGCGGCGGCGGCGGCTACTTAGATGATGATGGCTGTAAATTTGATGGGTGGCTGGCCTCTTCTCTTAGAAAATCTAAGTCTTTTCTTATAAAAATCCAAGGGATGCCTTGGTGTCTCTTCAAAAAGGTGTCTCCATTCAATGAATCTTCTAGAAGTTGCCTCCTTAAAAGCCAATTGAATGAATTTTTATGTCCATGGGCTATTTCCCTCATGTTCTTACTAAGGGTTGCTTCAATCATCTCTTCAAAAATCCATTCAAATTAAATAATTCATCTCATAACTACTTCTGGCGCTCAGGCGGGAAACCTTTGGCGCTTATGCGTCAATTCTGAGCACTTAGGCGCTCCAATTCATTTTTTCACCTTTCTTTATTTTTGCTCCAAATTTGACCTTTTTTCACTCCTTTTAGTATTTTTCATCAATTTGTTTGTACCTGAAAGAAAAACAAACAAATACCTTTCATTAAAACATAATATCTCAAAAATAGGTATAAAAATGTGTATATAAATACTTTATATTTTAGGTGTATCAAAATCCCCCAAACTTAAGATGTTACTTGTCTTCAAGTGACCTTTCAATCTTTAAAAGCTAACATAAGTAGACGATGTATATGAGTTTGTTTAGGAGTTACCAAAATTTTGATGTAGAAATATAGTAGTCTATTATAGAAAAAATATTTGTAAATGAGACCAACTTAAAGTTTAGAAATTTTTAAAGTTAAGAAATATGAAAATATGAGTTTGTATCTAATGCAGAAATATTATATATTCTCTAAAAATAGAGTTTAGGTATTTTATTTTCTCTACTTAAAAATTTATATTGAGCATGATTTTACTTACTATATTATATACTTAAGCTTAAGAGTTTCTCAATTCTTATACTTTAAAAAGATTAGATGTGGAACCACTTTTTAATTAGGCACTAATCCTCAAGCTTCTCCTCCCTTTTCCAATTTTTATTTTTTTTCTTTTTATTTTTCTCTTTTTCTTTTCTTTTTCTCTTTCTTTTCTTCTTCTTTTCTTTTTTTTATGCAAGGATTACTATATTTGGATAGGCCTTTAATGATTTTGAATCCCACTCTTCCTTTCCTAAAGCAAAGAGTTGATATTTTTCTTTCACTTAAGAACATAATAATTGTTTTGAAAATTAATTTCAATAAAAGAAATTTAAGTTTTGAAAATAAAATTTCTAAATTTTTAAATTTTTCAAAAATACAATTTTTCCTACTAAAGATAGTTACACAATATTTAGCATTTTCCACACTAAAAATTTTTAACTTTAAGTTTTTCTTCATTGTTATAAATTTTAACTAAACTCTCTTACTCATTTCTAAAATAAAAAATTTTACTTCATATACATAATCATTTTTCAAATCAAAATCAAATTTATTTGAAATATATTTGAGAACAAATAAACTTTCAAGTTCTTTTTAGAAAAAAACTTTAATCCCTCCCCAAACTTAAATTTTTAATAGAAATAACACAATTTAGCATCATATGTAAATAAGCATGAATGAAAACTAATTATAACATGCTTGCAAGAATTTTCATATCCTAAATATGCAAGTACAAAAATTAAAAACAGGAGTAAAAATTTTAAATTGATCAAATTTTAATTCTCTTAACATATAGAGCTTCATCAGATATCTATACAGTGGAGTATAACATAAAAGCAAACAAACACACTAACAAACATACATGACTGCAACAAAAAGAAAAATAGATGATATTAAATTGAAAATTTTAAACATGCAGCGTTAAGTAACAAGTTAGCTAAATTATAAACCTTCTTAAGATTCTAGAATTAAGTTCAACACAGAATAACTAAATACATTCATAATTACTACCACTAAACATAATAACTACTCACAAAACACAGATACATGATAATAGGTGTATGAAACAAAACATAGAAGTCTCAACAATAAAAACTAAAGATAAAACACTAAGTACAAAACAACAACACTAACAACAGTTCATAACAACACACAAACTTAAAACATCAAACAGAACTAAAGATCCAAACTAATCATCACCCTCTTCTTCATCACTATTGTCACTACGTCAAATAGCTGCAGGCTCATATGGTGGATATCTTGGGTATTGAGGAAATAAAACATCCCAGTTACCTCTCATAAAGTTTTCCATAACTAAGTTGAATTCACCATCATATTCACTATGGCTCTTCATATATCCATCCATATGCTCAGCAAAATGTTCTAAGTTTGATACCTTTTCATTGGTATAAATGAAATTATTCAAAATCCTCTTTAATAATAGTGATTGAGAATCAGATCCAGAAGTTTGACCTCGTGATATAGAAGCATGTGAAGTAGAGGCTCGTGATGTCGAAGTAGCAGATCTACTAAAGAATTCACCCCTCTAGCCAAAAATAGAATGATGTGAATAAGAGTACACATTCACACTGGTAATGGACTTTAGTGGCTGTAAGATCTCCTCCCAGCTCTCAAGTCTAACCCTAGCATGCTCGCATAAGGAAAAGATCAAGGTTGTGAATCCTAAACCTGCAGTAGTAGCAGCGACAACTGAACTGGTAATACTCCATGAATCAGAGCTCCAATATCAATAGGCTTGAACTGCTGAATGTAATAGTTTAAGGTTGCTCGATCTCAAGTCACTTCACTCAAATGATTTGTAGGTAGCAGACGAGCAAAATAAAATAATGTCATGCCTTTGAAGTGGCATCCAACTTTGAAGCAGAAAATTTTAATCTTCTTTCATTTGTGATCTTCCATAACCCTCTCTTAGCAGTTAAAGATGAAATAACCTCTTCTAAATCCTCCTCAGTAGGACTATAGTTTGCATAAAAACACCAAGTACTCGGGGGCAATTGATAAAACTGATTAATTACCTCAAGAGAAAATGGTTTTATTCCTGTGAGAAGCTATGAGAAAAAAATTATTTCTTTAGTTCAGATTTAATTCCTTTCCTATTTTAGGTTTTTTATTTTTATGTTGTTTCCTTTATCTCCAACTAAATGGTATTAATTGATTAATTGGAGATATTAGGTATTATATTTTTTCATTCTTGTTATTTCTTTTTTTTATTGTCTTTCTTTTCCTGTTTTTTTTTTATATTATCTTTCCTATTCTAGGATTCATGTAAGGGTTATTTATAATCTAATATCAATAACATTATTCCACATCTTGAATTTCAGCACTTTTTATATGAAATATTATTATTTTGTTGACCCGTCAAATTCTCTTTTTTTGTAAATTTTAGCAAAAGTGACTTGTCTGTACTAAATTTTATGCAGATGATAGTTTAATTTATGCCTTATACTGATGTTTTATTCAAGTTTGTAGCTTACTGTTGCGCAATTAATTTCTGGTGAAGAATATATTAAATAATTCTCCTTGAAAAATCAAATGATGGTCAAACACCTGACACAATAAGCATTCTTTAGTATTTTTCTTGCTGTACTTTTGCGGTTGCCCTTCTGCAGATTGTTTTCTAAGCTATTACGTGATAAAATAGAAATTATACAATGCTCCTTTTAGTGGAGGTATAAAGTTAGAATCACCCTAAAAAGGATATCATACAAGAAGTTTTAAGCTGTTAAGGACACAACTTACTGATCTTGTGATTTTTTGGCATCAGTAATGCTCATTTAATGTCTGACATAGTTACCTTGCAATTCCTAAAGTGGTGGAGCAATCAGTATGCTGGAAAGAGTTCTTTCCATAGTAATTTGTCATCAGATATTGAAACAATAATAATGAATGTGTTAACTTTTGATTATAGAGCAGGATAATTTTCATTGATAGGGAAGGTGGTATACATACACATTACAAGACTTCATATAAAAGGAAAGACATAAATACAAAAATATATTAAATAGGAAATAAATAAATATGGTAACCAAGTAAATAATGTCTAATAAATCAAAATAGTAAATTCTAGTAATAACCGTAACTAATAAGGTTAATAATTCTAATATTTTCCCTCCTGTTGAAGCATAAATGTCCATCATGTTGAACTTGGATTTAAAGTCCTCAAATAACGGTCGAGAAAGAGTTTTTGTTATCATATTAGCTAGTTTCCTACTAGATGGGACAAATGGAACACATATCTGTCTGGAATCAAACTTCTCTTAATGAAGTGTCCCTCAATCACTATATGATTGGTGCAATCATACTGGGCCAAATTATGAGCAATTCTAGTGGTGACATTATTATCACAAAATAGCTGTAGAGGAGCCGAGACTGGCATACATAATTCGTGAAGCATGATGTGGAACCAGAGAGCTTCACATATTACCAAGGATGTGGAACAAAACTCGACTTTTGCACTGTTTTGGGGAACCACCTACTTTTTTTTTTGCTTTTGTAGGAGACATGATTTTCCAACATGAATGAGCAATACCCTGAGGTGGATCGTCGATCATGGAAAAAACCGGTCCAATCAACATCAGCATAAACTACATTATAACGAGAGGTGTGGCCCAAGAACAACAAACCTGAGCATGGTATGCTTTTTAAGTAGTGGATGATTCGATGTACTATACCCACTGTTTGGAAAATATTGGGGCTCATATGGGCGACATAAGTGAGTTTCCCTATAATGCGCTGGTAGCGTGTCTTGTTTACAAGGAGAACATTAGAAACATCAGCCAATTTCTCATTGGGATCCATCAAAATAACCACCGGTTTGCAAAGTAGAAGACTGGTCTTTGTCAATAGGTTTACATATTTGCGCTTGGAAAGACAAGTGCCCCGAGAGGACCTAGCAACCTCCATGCCTAAGAAGTTTTAGAGTGACCCCAAGTCCTTCATTTCAAAGGATGTGGCGATGATTCCTTTAATAGATTCCAAGGTTGGTAGATCCTTATCTGTGAACACAGTCATTGACATAGACGGTAAGAATGATAATTTGACCATTAGAATAATGCGGAAAGACAAGGTTATGATCTGATTGGGCCTGAGGGAACCCATGACCCACTACCATCTGTGTGAACTAGTCGAACCAGGCTCGAGGGAATTGTTTCAGTCTATAGAGGGATTTTCGCAGTCGACACTTTTCTCCGAGAAGTAGAGTCAAAGCTTGGAGGTAGGGACATGTCCTCCTCTGTGAGATCGTTGTTAAGGAAAGCATTCTTGATATCTAGTTGGAGTAAGAGCCAAACCCAAATTTATAGCAAGGGTTAACAGGACCCAAACGGTGTTCAATTTAGCAACTTGAGCAAACTTCTCCTCACAATCAACTTCATATGACTCCTTCATCAGCTTCAGAGAGATTTGCATAGAACTCTCGTACAACAAAAATCACTGCGACAGCAGAAAAACAACAAAACCACTCCCACTGGTGGCAAACAATCAAATCTTCCATAGCTCCTCCCGAATTTTTAAAACACTGCTCAAGAGTCAACTTTCTCGACTATAGTGCATCACTATATCGATCCCGAGCTCTCGAACTGAAAAACTTGTTTGAATCGAATGGAGCCTTCCCCTTGCTCCTCTTCATTCTTGGTGCCATTTCTAAAAAAATTATAAAATTAAAAATAAATTCCACATTCAACTCCAGATGATCGGGAATCCCTTGGATTAAACCCTTAAAAGATTAAACTAACAAATCCATGCCTTTTCCATCAATTTTTCTCAAATTTTCACCATGAATAGTGATTTTCGGGTAGCTCATGAATGTGCTCAAAATACATGGTGAAAATAAAAAAATTTTGCATAGAAGTAAAGCTCTTACCTCAAGGATCTCAAATCTAGCATTTTTTTCCTCAAATCTCCAAGAAATCTTCAAATATGGTGTGCCCTAGCCCCAAAATTGAGAAAACCAGAGGAAGAAGTGACGACAAGGTGCGTTAATGGAGTTTTTCGGACCGATTTTTCACTTAAAATTGTTCGTGACATGTCTAGCTTAAGTCAACCAACCCTAAATGGCCTCAAAACACATTAAATACTATTTCCTTCCCTCTTAACTCTTCTCTTACTCAAGATTCACCAATTTTAACTAATTCAATTCAACACACAATAACACGAAATTTCTCACAAACAAAAAACTTATATTAATTCATAAATAATTACAAAAACTTTCAAATACAAAAATTCTCCATCCAAATAGTTTTGGATGACAAAAAATTCCTTACATAAACACTAGTCAAACATAACATTAAAACACACTAAACACATAAACTCTAAATCATGAACTTTATTCCATTCTCTAGTTGATGGAACAATTTTTGGCCTATCATTAGTCTCTCCTTCAGTATTTGGAATGTGTATCTGAAAAAACAAACGATGATTAATAACTCTAGTTGAATCTTCTTCAATCCACTTGTTCTTTAGATACATTGTCTTGTCTGCTTCTTCTATAAAACTGGTATGGCTAAATTGTAACTTAAGTTGCCATCCTATATGATCTAGATGTGCGTTAACTTCCATCACTTTTGCTTCAACTGAAGCCACGTTAGCCTATATTTTAGTGATTTTTTTTGCTATTCCTTAGATACTAACAACGAGGAAATCGTTATACATCTCTTGCGCACTCTGACTAATAAACTTATTTTTCATTCTTCCTCCTTCTTCAAATCACTCTCCCAAGATGACATTTTTCAAAACTCCTCTCTTTTCACTTAAAATTTAGGGTTAAATGGAGGTGTAGTGAGATTTCTACTCTAGTGAGATTTCTACTAGTGAGATTTCTACTCATACCCTTCTATTTATAGGCTCTAAAATCCTCATAAAACTTCTTGGCATGTCCTGGAGCCGTCTCCCACATTTAAGCTAACCAATTCATAGTTTAAACTTCTAGAAACCAAATTTAGCACATGTTTTTTAACTATCACGCTTAAATGCCAGATTTTTGTGCTTAAGTGCTAGTGCTCACTTTAGCACAAGTCAACTTAACATCCAAACATTTTTTCTACATGTCTAAGTCATTTTTAAGGTGTTAGAATAATCACTAACTTAATATATAGGAAAAATACTACCAGAATTTTCTAAATCTTACACTACAACATTAAAAATAAATACAAACACGCATATAACTATCCACAGAGCACTTGGTTTAACATCATCATCCCAACGTAATCGGTGCTTATTCTGGTTGACCCAACATCAAAAAATCATTTAATTTAACTTGGTCACCTAGAAAGTAGGATTTCAGTCTGTGACCATTCAATTTGAATATTTTGTCAGTTTTAGGATCTTTGATATCCGCAGCTCCATAGGGATAAACTTTCATCACAACAAATGGACTCATCCATCTGAACTTAAGTTTGCCTAGAAATAATCTTAACCTTGCATTATAAAGCAGAACTTGTTGCCATGGCTGAAAATTTTTAGTAAGAATCCTCCGATCATGCCACATCTTCATCTTTTCTTTGTAAATCTTAGCACTTTCATAAGATTCATTCCTTATCTCTTTAATCTCATTTAATTGCAATAACCTTTTCTCACCAGCTTTCTTCAAATTGTAATTAATCTCTTTAATTACCCAATATGTTTTATGCTCAAGTTCAACTGGTAAGTGACAAGCTTTCCTAAATATTAACCTGCTTGAGGACATTCCTATAAGAGTTTTGTATGCAGTCCTATAAGCCCACAAAGCATAGCTAAGTTTAGCTGACTAATCCATTTTAGTTGATTCATAGATTTTTCTAATATTCTTTTAATTTTACGATTGAATAATTCAGCCAAACCACTTGTCTGAGGATGATAAGCAGTAGCAATTCTATGGTTAATATGGTATTTCTTTAATAACTTCTCCATTATTACATTTTTAAAATGACTTTCCCCATCAGTTATGATTACTCTCAACATCCCGAATCTACAAAATATGTTTGTTCTTAAAAACTTTATAACATTTTGAGCATCACATCGAGGTAAAGCAACAACTTATATCCGTTTAGATACATAATCTACTGCTAACAATATATATAAATTTTTGAAAGATGGTATGAATGGTCCCATGAAATCTAATCCTTAAACATCAAATATCTCAACTTCTAACATATAATTGAGGGGCATCTCATTCCTCCTAGAAATATTACCTCGTTGACATCAATCACAAGTTTTGATATAAGCATTAACATCTCTAAAGATTGTAGGTCAATAAAATCCAGATTGTAAAATTTTGGATGTTGTTTTACCAACATCAAAATGTCCCGCAAAATAAAAAATTATGACATTTTTTTATAATTTTATAAGTTTCTTCTAAACGCACACATCTTCAAACAATAAGATCCTTTCCTTGTTTATATAAAAATGGGTCATCCTAACAATAAGTCTTAGCTTTAAGAATAAATTTCCTCTTCTATTGGATTGTTATGTCATTCCATATGGTATAATATCACTAACAATGAATTTCACAATATCGACATACCATGGAACACGACACTTATTAATATTGAACAATTCCTCATCTTGAAAATGCTCATTAATTTTTTTTTCAAAATAGAGTGGTTTTTCCAATTCAAGACTGAACAGATGATCATCCATTTGATTCTCAGCTCCCTTCTTATGTATTATTTCAAAGTCAAATTCTTGCAAAAGAAGAACCCATCTGTTGGTGTTATTTTGGGGGTTGGTTTGTTTGTGGGGTGTTGCCCATAAGAAGCTGTCGGTCACCGGAATCGAAATCCCGTTGCCCGCTTCGGAAAGACGTTGAAGTATGAAATCAAACTGACCCCATATTTTTATAGTTTAAAATGAAAGAGCATTGTACCTCAAATCTTGTATCTATCTCGAAGGATAAACACAAGAATTGAGGATGAGGC